CACACACACACACACACACACACACACACACACACACACACACACACCATTTCTTCCTCTCAGGAGTTCACTCATTAGGCTGTCTCTTCCCATCAGTAGCCATGATGTCGGTGTAATTTCACATAATCCTCAGGATAATTGTTTTAAACAGTAATCCAACTGCAGTTCAAACGTTTTAGCTTCAAGAAATTGTTCTTTTGTGTTGCTAGACATGCACTGATTTAATATTTAGGATGAAACTTGTTTTTGTTTAGTGGTAAAATATTCAAGAGCAAAATGTATTGTTCTTTTTAACTTGTTTAGGCACATATTGTAACACAAAGTAGTTGACTTTTGCAACACTTTTGTCTCTATAATCTTTGTGTGAGACGTTTTGAGAGTTGTATTGTCTTATTGGTTTGTTTCTATCATTATACATGTACATTCAGGACATATTTTCATTAACCAATTCTATCAGTTCTTCCTGAGACCACATTGCTGACAGTTCAGCAACTTTACAATGTGTTATAGTTTTGGTGACGTTTCAGATTTTTCTTGTAGTTTGAGAGGTCTTTAAATCTGTGGGATTTTTCTTTTGGCCTTACAGACAATGTGGTGATCTTCTCAGAGAAAGACGAGTACGACAAACTGAAAGCTCCTCCTCCAAAGACAGTGAAAAGGTGAGAGAAGCCTCAGGTTAAACTGCATTTCAGTATGTCTAATGGAATCAATACAAATATAAAGACTTTCATTGATGACTGTGAAAAAAAACCCAGACAGTTTAAAAATTGTTGCTGCACAAAACATATACAATGTGTGAGAAAAACAGACATGCACCGAAAAACAAGTAATACAAACAACATTAAAATAAGATGAAACGAGACTCCTAATGGAGGATAATGCTCCTTTAATATCCTGTTTACCAGACGATGTGTACAAGGAAGTTAACAGTGAGGTTTGACGAAAGAGTGGTAAAGCTTTGAAAATTAGAAGTTCGACGCATGATTAAGAAAGTTGTTTCCATTCACTAACCACTCAACATATTTAATCAGTGAGAGTTTTCTAAAGAAGTAATAGTCCTCTCATCCTTGACATCCGAGTTTACTAACAAAGCCATCATACCATCGTATAGTGATCAGACTAAATGTGTTGTGGTACAAAATATACTAAGTTGATAGATAAAAGCATTTCTGAGGTATACATTGACCTTGTGTCATGATTTAAAGCCTCAATTAATTTTTTTAAATAACTTTGATTAGGTTTTAGTGATTTAAACCAGTGGTTCCGAACCCTGATTCCTGAGGAACACCATCCTTCACGTTTTAATTGTTCTCCTGGTACAACACACCTGATACAGAGATTTAATTACTTCCTCGGGTTCTGCAGAAGCCTGTTAATAACCCATCCATTCAAAGCAGGTGTGTCAAAGCAGGAAACAACTAAAACATGCAGGGTGGTGTTCCTCAAGGACCAGGGTTGGGGAACCACTGATTTAAACTGTGATATGATTCATGCGATTATCTGCCAAGTAGTGCAAGTTTCACATAGTTTTTTTGCAGAATCTTCTACATGGTTTCTGTATAAAAACATGTAGTGCTGCAGGTTCAGCAGTGCAAATAAAGTACTGCTTGATTTCTTGATAGTGCTACAGTGTTGGAGTCACAGAAATCAAAATATAATTATTTAGCCATGACAAAACAGCAGGGAGATTTTGTTTTCCTGCCACAAAAAAGATTATAACTACCCATACTTATCAGCCATATCTAGGATTGTAAAAATAATAATGATAAAAAAGTGTTATTGTAAGTGTTTTACTGTTTGCTTGTTGTTGCATTTCATTGCAGCTACATCAGTAGCAGTTCAATAGTTATGTCGGTATGCCTTTCAAAGCTTATGATTTATTACAGTCCGGTCAGTTATGCAGTAATAAAATGAGTCACTTTGATATAGAAATATTTGCAGGTTTTCAGTATATTGTGCAACTCTTGTCTCGTCTGTGTCATTTTAGTCCTCACCTTTGATTAATGATTTAAACTGTGATGCGATTCATGTGATTATTTGCCAAATAGTTTCTTAGAGTGAAGTTCCAAATATGTATATGCAGTTACAGTGTGAGTAACTCTCACTGTAACTAAATGGTTACTGATATTTCACAATCAAGAACATTTAAAATGATCCTTTTGGGGGGTCCAATATGCTGTCTTTTGAAGTTACTGTTTAAATAGACTTTATTAAAACTTTCCACCTCTTTTTAAAATTCAGAAAGAACAAAACCATACAAAAACGTCCAATTTTTGTGAATTATAATGGTAGAAGGTGTGCTTGGATCGAGTCTCACAAAGACTCCACACATTATCCTTTATAATTTTCTCACAATGTGCCCATAATTAATTCACCACAGAACAAGCCATTGCAGTATTTCTGCCTCTGGCCATTATTTTGTGTCTTTACACATAAACACTGTGTGTGTGGTTGAACGATATCGGTTCACTTTTTCCCCCCTTAAATGGAGTAATAAAGCAAATAGCCCATTATGTGGCTTTAGAGCAGGCAGAAAGGTGGTTTTGGATGGGCTATGAGGTAAGGAAGCATATTTGAGCCCCGGAGCCTAAACATCCAGACAGAGGGACAGGGTTGGTAGTTATCAGGGTGGATGGGGGTATTTATTCCATGCTTCACATAAAACCACCAAGTGAAAGCCTGTCCCAGCATACAACAAAAGAATGGCTTTCTCACTTTCTTCTGCGTACACCTCATCCCTCATGTAAGGAAAATGCTGCTTTATAGATGATTGAGAATGTGTGCATAAACATAAAAAAAAAAAAAAAAAAAACTTGTGCTCACATACATTGTTGCATTGTGCATCGTTTCACTTGCATATTTTAAAGTTATGAAAGGGGTGTGAATAAAAAATATAAAATGTTTAGATGAGACAAGCACACACTTTGTCATTTTTATCCAAACACACACACACACACACACACACACACACACACACACACACACACA